ACCTCCCAATCTGTTGACTGACATTGGGAGTACCCGGGTTTGCTACCAGGAATGATGCCCTGACAATCTGGGTAATGCAGAAGGCTGTAGTGTTGGGGAGTCTTCACCTTTTTCCGAAAAGTTCTGGTTGGGTTTGACTAGCTAGGCCGCGCTTCCTGGGAGAAGTCCCATTTGCTGTCTGGGCTGCGTGTAGAGGGGGAAAGGGCCCTGACCTGACGATGAGCCTAACCAGCCTGACTGTGCCAGGATCACCCAAATTCTCTTCGCTGCATTTTTAAAAAATATGTAAATAATAATAATAATAATAATAATAATAATAATAATAATAATAATAATAATAACGTTTAAATGAAATACCTAACACGGTCAACTTCCCTGAATCTTGGCAACTCGGACTTATCGTACCACTACACAAATCATGGAATAGGGATGATCCAAATAACTACAGGGGCTTTGCTCTACTTGATATACTGAGCAAAATCTTCAACACAATAATAGAAACTCGCATTAAATGTATTGGTTGCTAAACGAAAGACTATAACATAACAGATCAAATATTCGTACTGCATTCAGTAATTCACAAATATATTAAAAAGACAAAAGGCAAATTCTGCTGTATCTCTGTTGATTTTAGAAAAAGCATTTGACACGATAGATAGAAACTAGCCTCTCTATATCCTTCTTAACAGCATATAAATGCTATAATAATTCAAAATGTACAGAAACGTAAAAACAACTGTTCGAAGTAGTACGTTTTCCTTGACCGAGATCCTCAATTCAAATGCTGGGGTTAGACAAGGCTGTATTTTGTCACCTTTATTGTATATACGTAATGAACTTGTAAATGATATTGTAAACAGTGAGTATAGTGGAGTTTTTTTATGGATGAAGTCGTAAATGCATTATCAATACTTTGAATTGCCGATGATGTCACCATGTTTGTAGGTAGTGTTATTAATTTACAGAAAGAAATGGATATCATGGCAAAATGGGGACAGATAAGACTAAAGTGGTAGTATTCAAGAAAGGTGGCAAAGTTGCAAAATGTGAAAAATGGTTTATTGGGTCCGAAAAATTAGAAACCGTCTCTTTCTACAAACACCTAGGAATAACGCTTTCACGCACAGATACATTCTCCAGGACATGCGATGTGCTTTGTAGACTAGCACAAAAGGTCCTATATCCTATCAAGAAATTCATTTGTCGATTTAAAACGATGCCACGTGATTCACCATTTAAGATATTTGATGGTAAAATTCAATCAGTTTGCTTTATGGCGCAGAAATATGGGGAACCATTTATCGACACAACGTAGAAAAAATACATTAAAAACTCTGTACATTTGTCCCAGGTGTAGCTAACGTTCACCAAACAAGGATATTCTCTCTGAATGTAGCAGATGTCAGGTAAAGATAAATCATAAAACACGAGTTATTTTCATTTTGGATAGGATTACTTAGACAACCAGAATCATGAAACACTGCTACAACATGTACACGACTGGACAGTTAGCTCCAGACTTGTTATTCAGATACGGATATTTCTACGCTTTGATTTCTTAAGATGTTGGAAAGCGAGAAGTATGTTTGTCTCTTGTTTAACAACGTTGCAAAGACATTTACTATCAGGGGGCGGTCGGGTAGCCTAGTGGTTAAAGCGTTCGCTCGTCACGCCGAAGACCCGGGTTCGATTCCCGACATGGGTACAATGTGTGAAGCCTATTTCTGGTGTCCCCCGCCATGATATTGCTGGAATATTGCTAAAAGCGGCGTAAAACCATACACACTCACTCACTCATTTACTATCAAGAATGGACATCTGACATGGCAATGGCATCTCCTTGGGGATGAAGTGAGTTGAAGTGGGTTTTAACATCGCATACAAGATAATTGTACTTATAAAGCGACGTGTGTCTGCGTGTGTGCGTGCGTGCGTGCGTGAGTGGGTATGTGTGTGGCTGCTTGCTGGTCCGGACTAACTCCGATTTTACAGTGCTAGCCCACAGTTTAGTTATAAATATTGTTGATCAACATAACATAACATAACATAACATAACATAACATAACATAACATAACATAACATAACATAACATAACATAACATAACATAACATAACATAACATAACATTAGAGTGAAAGTATTACCATGTGATATTTGATAAGATAGGTTGCATGATAGGTTCCAATATATTCATTTGTTAGACATCTTGTCAATGGCTGCATGTATGTATGGATAAAACTAAAAAAAACGTCAGTGCACAAGATCAAACAAATGCAAGACACCCGTTCTGATCCAGCCAGCTGTCATCCAAAGTCAGGCTACCATACAAAGGATGGTAGTTGTTCCAACTGACGAGGCCTCAACTAATATAACAATTACATGTAAAAACCACTGCATTTATTATTTCAGGGACACAATGGCTCTTTGTCACGTGCTAGGTTTCATTATATTCATTCAGACATCCTTCCAGCGGTGCATGAATGCATGAATAAAGCACATAAACACCTCTGGACTAACCAGAGGTATGAATGTTTCAAGGTTCATTGACGGAATGCACAAGCAGAAAGGCAACAAACCCATTCTTAGCCAGCTGTCATCCAAAGTCAGGCTACCATACAAAAGTTCGTAGTTGTTCCAACTGACAAGGCCTATACAATTATGTGCAAGCACCACTACATTAATTCTTTGATAAGTGATATATGAAAAAGGTGTGACATATGAGGCCAGTATGTTACCTGGTGAAGCAACCTGTCAAAACAACGCATCAGCACTATCAACTTTTGGCTTGACTCTAAAACGTAAATCAAAACACGGTCATTTGGCCAAGATATTTAGCCTAAGTTTCGTGTCTATTGATTATCTGATATTGTTCAATAATGGTCAAATAAACAATTCCACTGAGTTACCCACCTGAGCTGGAAATAAATGAAACCAGTGAGACCGCCCCATCTGTTTCCTTTTTAGATCTATGCATAACGATTCAGAGTGACAAAACATTATCAACAAGTTTGTATGACAAGAGGGATGACTTCAACATTCCAATAGTCAACTTTCCCTTTATGTCGAGCAATGTGGTATAATAATTTCTCAACTTTTGAGGTATGGTCGAGCATGCTCTTTCAAAGAACATCATACGACCCTAAAGAAATTTATTTACTTTTGTAGAGAAAGATTTGCTTCATAATTTTCAATAGATGTGAGTTTGCATAAACATATTTACTCGCATGGATCACATGGATTGAGGTATGGTCGAGTATGCTCTTTTAAAGAACACCATACGACCATAAAAATTGTTTGTTGGAGTTACAACAGCGAAACTTGTTGCATAAGGGTCTAAAGTAATGTTCGATACAATTTCCAATTTTGACTTTACCATATGTTCCCGTGAATCTTTAGGTGAACAATTGACTTGCCTTTGCATGTGTTTGTGACGGATGCCGCCGGTGGGGCAAGATGCGCTCACCTTTTCGCGAACACCCGGTGTCATCACTATTTGGGAGTGATTCATAAACACATGCTCATGATATAGTCGGAATCATACAATCGACTCTGCTTTTGTAGATACTTCTTATGATAATGGAAAGGATTTTGTCGATTTTTAAAATGTCCTTCAGTAGAGAAAGATTTGCCCCATAATTGTCAATAGACGTGTAAGTATATTTACTCGCATGGATCACACTTAGATTTTGATGATCCAAGTGATCAGCAGAATCTATACCCAAATATTAAGACAACACGTCTTATGAGTGTCAAGTGCAGGTCAAGTCTGAACTAAACTCAAGCCACCAGGTCCGTTGCCTGGTCGGTCATACACCTTCAGCTTCGTCAGCTGAGTGATCACGGTCCATCCCTTGTTCACAACCATGTTGTGATCTCCAGTTGTGATTGCTTGGCCAATGTCACCCTTAAATTAATTACCAAAGTGTTAAATCATTGATCAGGATATAATCTCCAGAACTATTGACCAGTCTGTAATACCCAGATGTAATATGACCGATGTCACCCTTAAAGCATTAAATTAATTACCAAAGTGTTAAATCATTGATCAGGATATAGTCTCCAGAACTACTGACCAGTCTGTAATACCCAGATGTTATATGACCGATGTCACCCTTAAAGCCTTACATTAATTACCAAAGTGTTTAATCATTGATCAGGATATAATCTCCAGAACTACTGACCAGTCTGTAATACCCAGATGTTATATGACCGATGTCACCCTTAAAGCCTTACATTAATTACCAAAGTGTTTAATCATTGATCAGGATATAATCTCCAGAACTACTGACCAGTCTGTAATACCCAGATGTTATATGACCGTTGTCACCCTTAAAGCCTTGAATTAATTACCAAAGTGTTAAATCATTGATCAGGATATAATCTCCAGAACTACTGACCAGTCTGTAATACCCAGATGTTATATGACCGTTGTCACCCTTAAAGCCTTGAATTAATTACCAAAGTGTTAAATCATTGATCAGGATATAGTCTCCAGAACTACTGACCAGTCTGTAATACCCAGATGTTATATGACCGATGTCACCCTTAAAGCATTAAATTAATTACCAAAGTGTTAAATCATTGATTAGGATATAATCTCCAGAAGTACTGACCATGTCACCCTTGGTTCAAGATTTAATGCTGACTCCCTGACCAGTACGTAGAATGTAGACATAAACTTTGGGACATGCCACTGGCTTTCAATGTCTTGTAGCGACGTGTTGTGGTCATGCAGCTGTGCCGCTGTCCCATCTGCGGGCAGGATATAGGAGGACATATGCATCCATTAACCAGTGTATAATTAGTGGGGGAGGAATCTGCATAATTAGTTGGGGAGCATTGTTGAAATACCAGTCATGAATCATCCGATAATATAAACAACATGTGACCATGGTCTGATGTGTTTTCAACATATCAAATAAGTTTCAGGGCACGTGGGGGCTCGATCACCTTAAAAGGACCTTCCCATGGTTAAACATGGTTAAATGGTCGTCCCCAGTTGCTCATTGTGTGGCGAACTTATCCTGTTCAGTTCTCAACAAGTTTATGTGAGTATCAAACCTTGTGTTCTTGGGACGCTTGTGACGGTTTGCGACAGTGCATTACTGAGAGAGAGATTCTTTATTTCCTCCAGATGTCATTCCTAGGATTGCAAAAATATATATTTAATTGTGCTTGGTTTAAACAATAAATAAATACGCTTTACATATTTTCTATTCCGGTCAGCTTATCAATTCATATTCAAATACGGAGACAGATATCCACTGAAAGATATATTTCAGATGATGCTTCAGCTTGTACAGATATAGGCTAATTGTAGTATAATAGTTTCCGACATATGTTGGTTCAGAGTGTGGGCAAATTCTCTTACAGGCCGAATAAAAATGACAACATATCTTGATTCGAAATGCATTCTTTCGAAAGTTTATTGTGTGATAAACAACATAAGGTTATAAAGCAGATCGATATTCCGGGGACAGTAAAGCAACAGGCAAAGTACAAGGTATATTAATTTCGTATGAGGTCTCTTATCACGGTGCCTGCTTGTGTTATTTGATACATTAGTGAACTATACTCGTACTTGCAAATAGTTTCATGAACAAGATTTCTCCATTTCAATTTCGGAGGAAAATATTAAAAGGCAGTTACATAGTTTTTTTTAAGTTATCAAGTGTTGATTGAAGTTATCCACAGATTGTCTTTGATTTGACAGGATAGACGCGCAATTCTTTTTTTAAATTTTTTTATTATTTTTTGGGGGGTGGGTGGGGTGGGTGGGGGGTGTTACAGCAAAATTATTACAGTTCATGTTGCATATAAGCGACCAAGAAATACACAAGTTTGCATTTATTTATATATGCAGTAACTATCCAAGAGTCGCAATAATGGTTTCTGAAGGAGATCTGTTTATCAAGACCCGGTACTATGCGTGCAAAATATCTTTGTGTGTATTTCAGCAGATCGGCATGTTGACCCTTGATGTCGAAGAGACAGTCACACTTATAGAGCCTGGTTTTCAGCATCAGTTTGAGCCATATTGTCACTCCTGATGTTGGATCATTGCTATTTTAATAAAAAAAAGTCTTGAGGAGTTGATATTTGGACTTGGTTTGACATTACTTTTCAATTATTGTTGTACAGGAAAGATTATACGTCAGGAGTATCCCAGCATATATATATAGTAGAGTCAGTGGTCGTAAGGTATGTATCACCAGGTTTACAATTAAAGTTATGCCCCTCGACTTTTGCTTTGGTGAACAAAATTATTGCTTTGTTTGATGGATTATGTTAGGCAACCCCTTGAGGGATACGTATGTACAATATCAAGGGATATTTGTAAGCCTCTCAGTGACGGGCTAACACATGTAAAACTGTAGGGATATCCATACCATATGCACGAATGCCACACTGTGTTTGTCTAAGGGCTGTAATACGATCATTGATAAAATAAATTCTTCTTGTATTCATTTTTTTGGCATTAAGAACTCTGTTTTGTATTGAAATAGTGTTTACTTTATTGACCTCGTGATAGCTTTGCTCCATACCACGTCAGATAAGGAAATTGAAACTATATAATTTTTTGATAAAGGAAGAAATGAGACGTTGTCCTGCATAAATTATATGAAATCATATGTTCATATGCAATCTTATCCGGACCTGGGGTTTTTTTCCTGCTGAGGTATTGACGGCCTCTGTTATCCCTGGAGATGTAAATTCTTGTTCCACTTCCCCATCAGGCCTCTGTTGTAGCTGTATAAATATCTTTACCTTACCAGTTATGTCCTCTTTGAATACTTCATCAAACATTTCAGAATCGTAGGCTTTGGCTAAATCTGATAAATTGTTACCCCATAATGTGCAAATATCTAATGCTGTAAAACCACTTTCATCCTTGTACTTAAATATATGTATGTCGGCTACCCTCGTTGTTCGCCTACAGTTTAATAAACAGAATTAATGCAAATTCAGCTGACCTTTCAATTTTCGTTTGGGTATTTGTTTTGTTAGACTTATTTCATTTTCGATAGAGACGATTGAAGTGTCTCTTTTAAGTTAAGAGATGCGCAAATCTGAGTTTTCGTCTTATCGTTTTTTAGCCATGCTCTTCGAGGCACACTCACGCGGTAGTGTGGATCATTAAGTCCGTCTATGTCACCATGTTGTCTATTCACTGAGATACTGTCTCAGACGCATTTTTAATCGCTTGCTGAGCTCAGTGACATTCGTGATTGAGAGATTCCCTTTAGGGACACACTATAGGGACTTCTGTGTGCACGTGCATCTTCTGATGTTCTTGAATGATGTGAAATTTCATTGTGATTAGATGTGGCGTTCAGATTCAACTCCACGGTATTGTAAATGTAGACCTCAACCATAGCATTAGTTGCCTTGGTGAGGTGTCTTTGCCATAGTTTAAACTTGGGAAAAAACATACCAAGGAGTTTATTTTATGGTCTTTAGATAGAGTGTTCAAACTTTCTTCTCTTGAAGAAGGTGAGGTGAGTTGAAATGGGGTTTAACGTAGCGTTCAAGATTTTTGCCCTTATATAGCGACTTGCCTGCACGTGTGTGTGGCTGCTTGTACTTGTCCGGACTAATTGCGGATTTTATAGTGCTACCCCACAAAACCGCAGTTTAATAATGATAATAAGAATAATAATATTAATAATAGAATACAATAATTTTGTGCACTTTTGCACATATTTATTTGTCTGATGATCCTCTTGGGTGTCAAAACTCATAATGAAAACAAGGCATTCCACAGTTTATTTAAACGAGCCAAAGGTGTGGGACATTATCGCAATGTCAGTGTTGATTTCGTTGATGGTTCTGTACTGTTAGACGGTACAGAAATGAGTGTCAACCAAACCAAGTGCCATAATCAAATCGGCCCAGACTCAGTTTTTCAAGGAGAGGCTATCTGAACGACCACTGCATCGAGTTTATGTGAAGTGTGATCATTTCGGATAGAGACGATTGAAGTGTCTCTTTGAAGTTAAGAGTTCTGAGTTTTCGTCTCTGGGTTTATGGTCTTTTAGCCATGCCTTTTGAGGCACACCCACCACTAGACCACGGAGGGGGTCTCCATTGATGGAGGATAGTGTTGTCTGGCAGTATAGACAGTATGTTGTAAGTTTATCTCTCATGATTGTCAGTGGCAGCAAATAACCGGCTAACCTTTCATTTAAATTTGGAAATCATCCTGTAACATCAGCTATAAAGATATGTGAGGTATATAATGTACGATGGATACACACGATGTGTGACATTTAGATATCGCTTTTACTTGTCTACCATCCTCTTATTTCATTTGGGGGCACGGGTGGCCCAGTCGTCTAATGCGCCGCGATTCGCTGTGCAGGGTTGCGTCCCTTGGGAACGCCAGAAACCTATGATTGTGGGTTTGAATCCCGGTTCGCCCCGATTATGTTTCTAGGTTTGTCAGCGCCATACCCGTGCTCGTGGGTTTCACCGAAGTGGTAAACGTCTGAGACCTGCATCACTTCGGGCTTTCCTCCCCAATAGCTGACACGCCGTGATATAACTGGAATACTGTTAAAAGCGGCGTTAAACCCAACTCACTCACTCTCACACTCTTATTTCATTTTGCCAGTATCAAACGATGGCAGTGGATCCCATGTTTGTCCAGGATTACAATGCAGCGTTTGAGCCCGAGACATACTTGAACACCTTCTACAATGACACCTCTCCCAGGATGGCTTTCGGCCTGACCCAGTTCCACGAGGCTTTTGCTTCAGGTGGGTAACCTGTTACTATAGCCTTAAAAAAGAGTGTTTTCTTCTGTGTTAAGATTGACATGATAAAGTAAAGCGTATCCCTACGTCGGCGTCACCATCCCCATAAACTACACATTGAAGCAGATTATTTGCCGGATAGCACGAAGTAACCAGCATTGTACCGTTCAACACTGGGCGTATTCATTATATTGGTAATTGTTTCGTTATACAGCCGACTCTAGTTAGATGGCAAATCCAGGGCTAAATTATCTACGTATCTATCTGCTTTGCTTTTTATCCAACAAGGGTTGTTTCATGTTATACATTTCACTTGCAACACTTCTGTGGACACTTCAATTGACATCCGTGTTGTATAATTGTTCAGCCACTGTTGTGAGTTATCTACACTGTAACTGACGATGAGCAAAGTCGATGTCATTATCAATTTCTATACATGGCCTCTGTCGAACGTGACAAAAGTTTCACATATATTTCTACAGGAAACATCAAGGGGAGACAACTGCTTGACTTTGGTACGGGACCCACTATACACTCAATCATCAGCGCGTCTCAACACTGTGAAAGCATCTTACTGGCGGAGTTCTCACCCCAAAACAGAGACACCCTGAAACAATGGCACAGTGGAGAGCTGAAACATACTAGCCATGCCATATTTCTTGACTATGTCCTCAAACTGGAAGGAAAAGGGTACGATTCTTATATTATTACTTTAATGAAGCTACAACAATGCGCACCTGCATGTCAGATGGCTAAAGTCGAAGTCACAGCTATTTATTGCATGTAAAAAGAGTTATAAATAAGTAGTTGTACATATTTGGATATATACTCATGTTTAACAATTTGTTTCTGAGGGAAATGACAATGTTTAACATATGTAGCCAGTTATATGACAGCATCATTTCCTGAAGAAAGCAGGTACAGAATAATATGACAGATAGCGTTCTGGTATATGTTTCTTAGATCACAATAATAAGGAGATACAAAAGTAAAATGAATTTCATTTTCTATAGCTGAATAGCATAACGGTATAACCTCTTCGAATTTTCATAGGACATTTTCCTCCTTCATTTATCATGAGATCTGACAATCCGAGCCTAAATAGAATGAATGGACGTCGAAGGGTTCTTGATGTTAATGTTGATAAGTATTTTTCTGGTTGAATAAGACTCTTAAACGTTCTGTACAAGTCATACCATGAACTGTTTTCTAGAGTGGAATGCCATTCCTGATAAAACATATTTATAGATTATTCACGAAATTGTTTCAATAGAGTTTAACATCAGCAACTGTTTGGTTTAACCATACAAAGCCGTAGCCATGAGAAAACAAAGGTTTCTAATATGTGATGCCCATGTTACTTTGCCCATGTCATCTTAACGTACAAGCATATTATAAGCAAGTTTGGGGATTCGGCGTTCATACATTTCAAGAATATTAAAGCAGTATTTCAATCATCTAATTTTGGAATTGATAACGGGTATCTGCCACAATCGCCATAGACCATTCAATTGGGTGTTGATTGACTAACGGATAAGAATTGTTTACAGGCTAAAAGATGTAGCTCTTCGAGATGATCGTATCGCTATAATCCCCATACTTCTGATCCATATACCAGGATTGGTTCGATTTAGGCATCAAATAATGCTCCTTCTTATTGCGAGACAGACATTACATTGATTTAGGCCTTCTTTGCACGTGATGTTAAGTCCGAGTCACTTTTCTTGAAGTTCGTTGTGTGGGTAGACATTACACCAAGATATGTATAATGGCTCAGCACATTAACACATTTACCATCGAAAAAACATCTATCATTCAGTGCCACCTGACCACCTCTTCTGAAAATGACACTATTTGTTTTTATCATAGTTAACTGACAATTTCCACGCTTTGATGTAACATTCTAACATGCTAAGTTGTTTTTTTGCGGACGTCAACGTAAGGGAAGAGTATGTAATGATATGTGTTGGGCTCATTGTGATTGCCTGATCCATGGAAAGGCCACTGGACAACACTGCCCAGACAACATACTGGTGCCAATAATTGTGTCGTTTGCGTGCCATGCTGGTGCTAGCTTTTTCCTTCGAAATAATTACTTTGAGCAGCATAACAATCACCAGAATGCATTCGACAGCCACGAGTTGTGACCTTTCCCTCACCTTCCGTCTGGAATATGATCAGGATACGTGTACGCCAACGTCAAAGGTCGCCATCTACGTTAGCCAAACTGGGCCAGGTGCTGCCAGAACAGAGGACAAGACTCCCTCAACTGCCCATGGGAGATTGATTCAGACAATGTTCTGCCATATAAACGAATTTTCAACCAATCTTGGGGCATGAATTGATCAAATCATCTCAAATTATCAATCTTTGAAGGCACGCTCGTGTCACCTTTTTGGCTGTTTGCACCCTTATAATACAATGGTACACCTAGTCCTCATTTTTTTTCTTATCCATCCATTACCACCACTCTTTACCTCTTTTTATTTCCGTAATCATCTGTAATGTTCGAAAACGTATCTTTTTTAGAGAATATATTTCTCTTTTTCCTTTGACTATCTGGACATTCAAATAACACTTTAAATCTAGTGTTAATGCACTTTGACATCTACTCTGAAACTAGAAGGCATGTGAAGGCAAACATTTGCGTTGGTGACTAGTTTGCTCACTAAATTCTGTTCTTAATTGTTCTAAGACCGTTAGGTTCTGTTGTTGCAACTACTTTGTTAATGATATCAACTTAATTTACATGACACGAGGATGTATGTTGTGATAAAGGCCGTACATAGTCATGTCAACCTTTGTACTATTATCCAACAAATGTTGCAAAACTCTGTGAGTCGTGTGGTTTCATTGTTCTAATGTTTATAATCTACAACACAATACCTTGTCATTCGTTTCAAGAAACTGTTAATTCGAAAGCATTAAGTAAAATTGTGATATCTGTATATTAACTTCAGGGATTCTGTGTCTAACAGAGAAGCCAGCATGAGAGAGAAAGTGTCTGGCATCATACCGTGTGACATCCGAAATGAGAACCCCTTTGCTCCATGCTTCATCCCCGCTGCTGACATCATCACATCCTCCCTGTGCATGGAAGCAGTGGCCCTGAGTATTCCCGAATATGAATCTTATGCAGCGCAACTTGCTTCAGTCCTGAGACCTGGAGGACACCTAGTTCTTTTCGGCTGTGTTGGGGGATCTTTCTATACAGTTGGTACCAGTCGCTTCTCCAGCTTTGGTATGACCAGTTCAGAGACACAGACTGCGTAGACAAAAGCTGGTTTGGAGATTGAAACCTGGAAGGAAGGTCATTGTCCAAATTCAGGAATTTCGGATATTGATGGATTCTTCACTTTGGTTGCAAGGAAGACGCAGGCGTGAAAACAGAAGTTATTAAATTACCAGGTCTACATAAAAAGGATAGATATGTATGGAGATGGCTATCTTATTCAGAATAAATATGACATACTGTATCCTCATCATTAAAACAAATACAAAGTAACGCCTATGTCGGCATAATTTTGCTTCATTTGCTTGTGACCATTGTCAGTCTAGGTCTAAACTTTGTCATTAGTGCCTTACGTGAAACTGAGGTAAGGTGAGGTGAAATGGGGTTTAACGTCGCGTCCAAGATTATTGCACTTATATAGCGACGTGCATGCACGTGTGTGTGTGTGTGTGTGGCTGCTTGTACTAGTCCGGACTGATGCCGATTTATAGTGCTAACCCACTGAGATACCATACCGCAGTTTAACATGAATACCCCACTCAGACACAGTATACTTACTCCGAGCCGACCAGTCCTTGTTTTAGCCCCTTTATGCCGAGCGCCAGACAGGGTAACAACAAGTACCATCTTTTAACGTCTTTTGGTATGACGCGGCCGGGGATCGAACCCCGGACCTTCCGCTCTCCGGGCGGACGCTCTACCACTAGACCACGGAGGCGGCCACGTGAAACTGAAACGCTGTAACTGTTTGCTTGATATACATAACAACATGTGGCTTAGATGACATGAAAAATAAGCTCGAATGAATACAAATATGGGACAGTCTGTTGGCTGAACCTAGATCCATTTTAATATAAATGTTAAGATAAGTAATAGTAGCTTTACGCACTGTTATACGATTTCTTGTGACTTTTTAGTTACAACATTTCTTGGAATCATTACATGGAAAGAAAAAGCAAGAAAACCATTCACATTATCGTAAGACATATCTTCTAAAAGTCCATTGTACAATTCCAACTATGTAATGAAGAAAATCAAGATATTTATCTGACTTCTTGTTATTGTGCTTGTTGTTTAACGCCGCACTCAGCAATATCACAGCTGTATGACGGCGGTATGTAAATAATCGAGCATGGACCAGACAATCCAGTAATTGACATCATGAGTATCGATCCAAGCAATTGGAATACGATGACATGCATCAGCCAAGTCAGCGAGTCTGACCACCTGATCCCTTAAGGTTGATATATAATTCCTGCATAATTTTGCAACATGACCTACAGTTGCGTCGGTTTTACTTGTTAAAATTCAAGTTTATAATTGCTAGTAAATTACTGGATCACCTGCAACAACAATGCGGCCCTCGGATGATAGCTCAGGGTGAAGACGGAAGACAAAACTCAGGGGTGAAGTTTTAGATGAAAGCAGCCATGTTTATTGATGATGGGTGGAATAGGTCGAAAAGGTACACGTTGATAATAACGTGACAGACCGCACACCGGGACCGAGTGGCCAATGTTCCCGGGTGCGGAGACCCGCTCTGTCACTTACACGAGTCGATGATCTGCTGTTTCCCTGACTGACCATGTCTGTCAGGTTTTGTAGATAGAGGTATGACATAACGTGGGGCAAGATCATTGTAAGGGTAGTGACATTTGTTACATTTGACCACTTTCTAAATGGCATTGTGTGTTCATAGCCTTTGGCAATGGGAGCCGTGCCAATTTACACTCGGCTGAGGGGCACACAAAGTACGTGATCTAGACTACCAGTTGTCGGACTTTCATTTGTGGAAGACTCGGTGGCTGAGTGGGTTCACTGATATTGAGTGCTGGCGGTTAGGTGCTTCACTCTGGCAGTATGGGTTCGAATCGCGGACGGGACGCAACCCAAAAAGTACGAGAATCTGTACTTTACAAAGAAAGTGTTATCCCGAATATAACATTTGTTACATGTTGGTGGAACAATTCCAAAAAGCTAGTACATTTTGTATTTATTTTAAGAATCAAAGTTGAGCATTGCAACTGCAACATATGGCCGAATCTTCATGAGAAACCCTCTATATTTTACTTGGTGATACTTCCAATTCCAAAGCCAGGAAAGGACTCTTCATGGTAGTGTCATTATCACTATTTTGTTAAATATTATGCTAATTATCATTCCCTTTGTTCAGTTACCTGTAAATGTTTGATGCATCTCAGTTTGATGATAATGGGTCACTTTGGGGCTGATTTGGCCATGTTCCATTTGTTCAGGAATCAGTACAAGCGTGTCTGAACATAATCCACACATGGTGTTGTAAGTGTATTTCTCTAAATCTCTCATACTAAGCCAGTTGGAAATACCCTCATAATATAGAATAGTATTTTTCAAATGTATTTAAGAATAAACATTTCTTGGCATATAAAAACTTCCATAATCATAAGTATTCTCTGCTAAAACCATTGTACGATTCCGACTACATAAGCATGTGCTTATGAATCCCTATCACAATACAGTTCAGTATTTATTAAGCTAGTTAATAATGACTTTCAAACACATCCGTCTGCAATCTCATGCTATCTCAGGCAAGTTAATCACAGTATTTACATACCATATTGTGTTGCCATTCTCAAGGATTGTGCAAGGATTGTACAAAGTTTTGTCATACGTTCCCCCACTGATGCCACTATTGCTAATCTAGGACTTTGGAGCATGCCGCCCCCGAACCGATCTTCTTCTCCATGACACAATGATTGACGTAACGTTCACCTCGACGTCGGTACACTCGAATCCGTCCATCGCTGTGGCTGAGGTGAAAACGAGACTCGTCAGTGAATAGAACTTGTCCCAACTGCATGGCCGTCCAGCAAAGACGCTGTCCACTGTAGACGTGCTTGACGGTGGTTTCTTGTCAAAATGGGACGTCTGGCGATTCTTCTGGCTACAATCCCTGCACATCTGAGGCGTAATTTTGATGTTTTCTGAGTGGTTGTTGTCAGCACGATGCTAAACAATGCATATCGAATCCCGTTAACGCATATGTTTTTATACCCAGCCTTGGGTAGTGAAATGCATGGGGCTTGCATAAAAGTCAACTTTTGCATGGAATACATGCTTGTCTGTGGCAGTTGCGTTTTTGTGACTTGATTCCATACATGTACTACAATATTGAAAACCAAACTTCCCGGCCGCGTCATACCAAAAGACGTTAAAAGATGGTACTTGTTGTTACCCTGTCTGGCGCTCGGCATTAAGGGGCTAAAACAAGGACTGGTCGGCTCGGAGTAAGTATACTGTGTCTGAGTGGGGTATTCATTTTAAACTGCGGTATGGTATCTCAGTGGACTAGCACTATAAATCGGCATCAGTCCGGACTAGTACAAGCAGCCACATACACACACACGTGCATGCACGTCGCTTTATAAGCATAATAATCTTGGACGCGACGTTAAACCCAATTTCACCTCACCTCACCACAATCAAGCTACCGAGTAGCCATTTTGTCCAACTACATTCCTTAAACGTCTTCTTTAGTTTTAAGTTGGTCTTGCTCTTGATGAAATGAAACAAAATTGACAGTTTGAGAAGTAGGGTTACACAGACCGGCGGCAAATCCCGTCACCAGATTCCTTATTGCCAGGCACTGCTTGAGGTGACCCGCCACATGTAAGTTACTTGAACCCTGTGGATGACACTGGGTTGTTTGTCGGCCATAAATATTAACACTGAGCATGTCCGCATGACTTGTGTATGCAACAGATTGCCTTGACATCAAGCCAACTCCGCCATGACAGATAGAACACACACACTACCACGCACGCACGCACGCACACACGCACGCACGCACGCACGCACGCACACACACACACACACGAGTCGCTATATTAGTACAATAATCTTGGACGCGACGTTAAACCCCATTTCACCTCATCTCAGTCCCAAGGGGATGGATTTGGTTCTTTGGGTGAAGGAAGGGAGGGAGCGGGGCAATAATATACTCTTAAAAAAAAGAAACGCAAAACGGGTGCAAGGTGCAAAATGAAGAGGTTTAATGTATTATAGTGTCAGTGACTAATTTCCCGGATCAGCAAGGACATGCAAACCACTAGTCGGGAAACACGTACGATTCGGGAAAAACGCACCTTGTGCAATAACAAAAGGGCCATGGGGCTGGGTTTGTGATTGCCTGGCGTCAGCGTCAATCGAACAGTGACAGTTCAACAACATGTCAAGATTAACAGAAGAAACAACGTCATAGGCCGTTTGCAGACAGGGGAATCCCGATCAGCTGTAGCCAGGGTTTGTAATGTAACGCAAAACACAATCACAAGGCTGTGGGATCGGTTTCAACAGCATGAGTCAACACGTGATCGGCCACGGTCGGGACGACCAAGAGTAATCGTCCCACCCCGACTGCGCCAGCTACGTGAAAGGACGACCACAGCCACCCCAGCCGCATCCAAAATACCCGGACTGCGCAGAATCTCCGACCAGACCGTACGAAACCGTTCAAGAGCAGCAGGTCTACGAGCAAGACGTCCTGTTCGACGCGTCATATTGAGGCGACAACATCGTCAACAACGACTGCATTAGTGTCGTCAACAAAGGGTATGGACTCAACTGCAATGGAGAGGTGTCTGGTTCAACGACGATTCAAGATTTAGAAGTGGACAGGTTTTGTGGGGGTAGCGTTATGATGTTGGCGGCTATCACTCTTCGTGGCAGGACAGGTTTGTTCCATATCCAGGGCTCAACGATACATCAACGAAAATCTCCTACCACACGTCCTCCCAATTGCAACCAACGGCAACGGTGTATTCCAGCATACAGCACGGATTGCAAGAGCCTGTCTACGCAAAAACAAAGTTGATGTTTCCCCCTGGTGAACGTTGTTCTCCCTCAAGATCCCCGGATTTGAACCCGATAGAGCACCTGTGGGATCAATTGGATAGATGGCTACGCCGATGTCAACCACAACCCCAGACGTTGAAGCAGTAGGCTTTTTGCGTTGCAGGTCGAGTTGGCTACTATTCACCAGGATGTGATTCGCATACTCGTCTTTTCCATTAGCAGGAGATGTCAGGCCGCTATCGATTCCAACGGGGTACATACGCGTTATTGATGGTCTCTGACCTTCACCTTGGACGTTTCCTAGACAGACAGACAAACAGATTGTTTATTTGAGTCTCACCTCACAAAAATAATTACATAAATACATATAAAAGGACATAAAAGTGAGCCACCCGTTAAGGGTTACGAGAGATTTAAAATATATCACATTATGTTCAGCATAAATATATTGGTGTAAAAGGGGTATGAATACTACCCGTAACTAGCTATATAAAATATTTTTTCTTCGTCGGAGAATTAAAAAGCAGGTTTTGGCTGTACAATATACATAATATTTAAAAAGTACAATAAGTTTTACAGTATTGCATAAACTTTCACGCAAATCGTCGTACACAGGGCAATCAAGTAATACAT